TGAGCGCGGCCGTGGTGTGGAGCATGAAGAGGACGACGAGGAGTGGAGAGAAGGAGCGCGATCGGGATCAAGTGCTGATGCGAACGAGACGGGAAATTGGAAAATGAAACGTTGGAGACGATGCGACGCAAGGTGCGATGGCACTGGAAAGAAGTGCATGGCGTCATGCTGGACAGCGTGGGACCATCGTTGGACAGCTGCGACACCAAATATTGTTGAAATAGATATTTTGTAAAGCCAGATGGTGGCGGCGACCTTCAGCGGACGGTTTTGGCTGAAGTTTTGGCTGGTATGAGTATGAGAAGAATCCCCTACAGTGTACTGTACACAACGAATGCGATGCGGCACACGTGATCAGCAGACACGTTGTGTCGCTTTGGTATCATTGACAGACATATCGCTTCGCTCAACTTGAGATATAGTCTGGCGGGTCCAAGAGCGTTAAAATCGTTTGGGCGACGCACGACCGATAAAAGAACGTCTTAGCGCAGCTGCAGGAGCCACGACACGGCAACACGCTCTTGTTTCATGCAACTCCAGCTAGTTCCAGGAGTGGTTCGTCCAACGGTCGCATGAACGACGCTGTGGTATGTTTAACCCGTTTAACGTTAAATGTCTATTTTAGCCTGGTATTCAGCAGCATGGGTAAAGAAAAAGCCCCGACGTTTCCTTCCAAACGGTGGAACACGACGAATTCAACTTCGAGGCCTATCAAACACGACATGTCTATCATGCAGAACTCGTCGCGCAGTGAATGAAGTACACTATTAGTGTGCTCTATTGATTGCCCTTGCACTCCTATGCGGTCAACGGTCCGGTGAAGGTCGCCGCCACCATCTGGCTTTACAAAATATCTATTTCAACAATATTTGGTGTCGCAGCTGTCCAACGATGGTCCCACGCTGTCCAGCATGACGCCATGCACTTCTTTCCAGTGCCATCGCACCTTGCGTCGCATCGTCTCCAACGTTTCATTTTCCAATTTCCCGTCTCCTCCGCATCACCACTTGATCCCGATGCGCTCCTTCTCTCCACTCCTCGTCGTCCTCTTCATGCTCCACACCACGGCCGCGCTCACGGTCAACGGCAACAGCACCTTTGACAACCAAGTCAACCGCATCCTGCACTGGAACGGCGACGACTTTTCCAGTCTCGGCTTTGGTCCCGAGGCCGTCGCTGGCATCACGATCGCCATCGGCACGGTGCTCACGTTCTTTGGCTACAAGCTCGTGCGCCCGGCCATCTTTGTCGCGGGCTTCATCGTCGGCGCCGTCGCGTGCTTTCTCTTGGCCGAGCGCATTTTCGCCAACGCGTCGTACATCGTCACGGCGTGCTGGATCGCGTTTTGTCCTCGGCGGCTTGCTCGTCGGCAGTCTGCTCGTGTGGCTCTACAAGGTCGGCATCTTCTGCGTCGGTGCGCTCGCCGGCGTCTTGCTCGCCACGCAAATCCACAACTCGTTTGGGTACAAGATTGCGCCGGCGCACCCCGACACGGTGCTGATCGTGCTCATGGTCGTGCTCGGCCTCGCTCTCGGCGTGCTCGCGTGGAAGCTCGAGCGTCCGTTCTTGGTGTTTGCGTCGAGCGTCGTGGGCGCGATCGCGACGGTGTGGGGCATCGGCTTCTTTGCGGGCGGGTACCCGAACGCGGGCAACCTCAAGGCGACCGTCTCGGCAGGTGGCGACTGGGTCTACGACATTCCGAGCTCGTGGTGGTACTACCTCGCGGCCACGATCGTGCTCTGCGGCCTCGGCATCTTTGTGCAGTTCCGAGAGCTGACGCAGCACAAGCGGCGCGAGACCCAGCAGGCGACGTACGCGATCCCCGAGACGCCCAAGCACGGCGACCCGATCCGCCACGTCTAAGACGACATTATCATCTATTGACAACTATTCCATAAATAACTAACGACTATTTCTTCGAACTGATCGATTTGATGCCTTTTGCTTATGGTGCAAGAGCTGGTTGTCGACGTTGTGTCCTGCTACAGTACATTAACTAGTTTAACGAATGCAATGCCTCGATGCGGCGCGGTTACACCGACGTGGCTGTTGGTCCACGATGGTACCTTCGTCTCAAACCGAAGGACTGAATGGTAGTCTTATAGCGCAGCTACCAGTATTTAGACTTACCAGTATTTAGACTTAGTGTATAGTATGGCCTTGTGCGAGTAGAACGCAAAGTCACGGGGCTGTCCGCCGGTCTCGACGAAGGGCCGGCACGAGATCCCGCAACCGAACCCGGGCCGCCCCAATGGCGCATGAATTTTGCCGGGAAGGTGCAGCTGCTGGCTACTGCGACGACGCGCCTCGCAGCACGCGTAGGACGCGCCCGTCGGGACGCCGCGGCCACGTGCCTTCTTCTTACGCGGTGCCTCCAGCTCCCCGAGGATCATTACAGCACACCAGCGGCGGTGGCCGCCGCCGCCGCGTATCGCCAGCCCGACCACATTCTACCGCGCTACGCCGACTTCATGTACCGCACCGTGCTGGGGCCGTCGCGGTTCGCACCCGACTCGACTTCCTTGGCGACGACGCCCAAGGCTGCCCCGTCTGCTGCGCTCCCGAGACGTAACGTTACGAACATCTTCTGCTCCGCTGTGCGTTTGTCACCGCGGTCTGGGCCGTCTTTCGGCCGCTCGTTGACGCGCTGGAGCTGGAACTCCCCTCGGCGCTGTTTGCGCTCTTATTTGAACCGCTGGTGACGGCCCAACGCTATCGACGACGCGTGTCGCCATGCTGTGGCCGATTCTACGCGTTTGCGTGCTCCACACCGTCTGGCTCGCCCGCAACGACCGAGTCTTCCGAGGCGCCCGTCGTGACGCCCGATGCGGCCGCCACTCGCGCCGCGTTCTTGACCAAGCTACACCTTCAACACTTGCTGCTGAATACCCAAGCGCTGTGTCTTCCAAAAGATGAACGTCCTGCGCCACGACGCCGACCACCTCGTTCCGGCTTGTGCCATCCATACGCCTCGCCTTCGCGACGGCTAAGCCTCGCTGCTGCCGTCAGTCACAACACGCTCCGAGTCGAAAGTCCACCTCCCACAACAGTTCAGTGTAAATTATTTCTCAATCGACTCACTTCAACAACACCAGAGCCCGCATCGTCGTGTCTGCCCTTGTCCACTCATCGACCATCCAGCGTTTACAGGCGACAGTCGGCGCTTCTGGATCTGTGGGACCTCCACGCTGCGTTCGACCACTCTTCATGGCGCACGGAAAGCACGTGTCTTGCATTCATTTTCCAGCGATCACGATCATCGACGTTCTCAGGTTGCGGGCCACTTCGACGACGCACGAATAGCATCGCCAGTGCTTCTTTAATACTAGATCCCACTTACACGCAAGTGTCGTGCTAGTTTAGTAGCCCCATGCGCCGTGGACCTGCCTGTTTGCAGAGAAGAGTGTTTCCTCGAGGTGGCTGGATCGTCCGGTATCGAAGCGGTGCCGACCATCTGCTTCGTCATGAATAAAAATATATAGATTTTTCCTGATAATAAAATACAATTTCATCCCCGCGCGCGTTCTCACGCCCCGCGCACATTTTGCGTTGCCATCCGGACGTTCCATCGTCCACACAGCCAGAATATGTGCCACGCGTGCCGACTCGACAAAAGACGTATCAGTGATACGTACAGTAGCCAGCGCCGACGCTGCAGTTTGCCTTTTACCCGTCTGCGCGCACTTGTCATGGCGGCTTTCTTTGTTGTCCTCTGCGCGCTCCTCGCTGGTGTCGCGGCCCAGCTCTCGGTCCCCGGCAACAGCACGTTTGACGCTCAAATCAACCAAATTCTGCACTGGGACGGCCTTCACCAGTCCAATCTCGGCCTCGGACCCAATGCGATCGCCGCCGCGGCCATGGCCATCGGCGTCGTCATCACGTTCTACGGCTTCAAGCTGCTTCGGCCCGTCATCTTTGTCGCGGGTTTCCTCGTCGGCGCCGTCGCCGGCTTCATTGGCGCCGAGATGCTGCTTCAAACCAAACCGTATGTCGTCACGGCATGCTGGGCGGCCTTTGCGCTCGGTGGTCTCCTCTGCGCCTCCTTCTCGTCTGCTTGTATCAGATCGGCCTTGTGGCGCTCGGTGCCGTCGCCGGCGCCCTCGTCGCCACTCTGCTCCACACCTCGTTCGGCTACAAGTTGTATCCAGAGAGTCCGCAAGTGGTATTGTACGCGATGCTAATCGTGCTCAGTGTTCTCTTTGGCGTCCTCGCGATCGTGCTCGAGCGGCCGTTTGTGATTTTTGCCATGAGCGCGTTTGGCGCCATCATGATCACGTGGGGCGTGGGGTACTTTGCCGGCGGGTACCCGAACGCAACGCACCTGCCGCAGTCGCTCAAGAATGGCACTGTGAGCGTCGACATTCCGTACTCGTGGTGGGGCTACGTCGTTGGCACCGTTGTCTTGTGCATTCTAGGCATGTACTTTCAGATGCAGTCAACGGCGCGACCGCCAAAAGAGCTCAAGCGTTACGTCGGTCTGCGCGGCAACCCGTTCGCACACTGCTAAGATTGTCGTTTACTCTATTTAAACCCGTGTGCGAATCTTTGGATCAAGCGTTTATTTCACCGATGCTCGAGTCGGGCAATCGACAATAATTTGTTTGACCTTTGACCTTTGGGCGTGACGTGGCGTGGTTTGAGGCGACAAAGCTAACTGTAAACGCAAAATGGCAATGTAGCCTACTGTCTACGCATCGCGTCTATCTGGACGGCAAAAACTCAACTTGCTGGCTGCGCCGAAAGTAACACTTTGTTTTCGTTGGCTCGTGTCTTGAGACGTGAGGAGATAGAATGCGTGCGGAAGGCGCACCGTCAGCATTATAACGGCAGACGCCAGAAGGGACTGGCACGTGATACACACCGAGCTCTCACGATCTCGGTGCATATGGAGGGAACGTTTGCAGACCGCACTCTCAATTAATCGATTGATGGAATGCTGCAAGCAAACTCATGTTTTTGGAAGCCACCTCCTCGGGCTGTCGGTTGACTTGCCTGGTGGTTTTGGCGCCTCGCGCCGTGTCGAGCACGCACGACAGCTTGCCGTACCACGCCAGGTTGTCCATGTTGGACATGTTGGACGCCATGAGCACGGTCCGCATTGCCAATTGTCACCTTCTCCGCCGTAGTCGCCGTCTTAACACTACTCACTGCTACCTACACCAGTACCTACAGTACTTCAAACTCAAAAAGGTTCTGCGTCGCTTGTGGAGAGCACCCAATCCGGTCGGTCATTTCATGTCAGTGCAGGCTGCAGCTCAGAGCGCACGCAACCGCAACTCGCTCTCTGAGCTACCGCCAGCGATCGTGCAGCGTCGAGATGCCGTCGACGTACATGGCCTGTGCACGCAACTTTTGGGGGCCAACCATGCTAAAGTTCAAGTCTGCTGCTTTTGAAGAACCGCGCAGCATGGGACATACAACGCTTCTTTCTGCTGCGTGCATTGCTGGTGGAAACTCATTTCCGACCCCAATCGCATGTTCAAACGGTGTTTGCACGCGGCCAGAAACTTGGTAAGATAATCAATATCCCGCATTCTTCCATGTCGACCATCGTGTGCATTTTATAAAAATAGCTTGCTTTTTGACAGCATGAAATTAAAATACATGTTTCGGTGACGCGCGCATTTTAGGTCCAGACGTTCGATCGGGCAACATGACTACCAGACATCAATCAATATTTAACTATTAGAACCTCTGCTGGCGCACCTAAAGTTACATGGATGCATCCAAGGGTGCATCATTGCTATTAAGCAGCGAGCGTCATGGCACTTTGCCTGTCTGCGCACACTTGTCATGGCGGCTCTTCTTGTTGTCCTCTGCGCGCTCGTCGCTGGTGTCGCGGCCCAGCTCTCGGTCCCCGGCAACAGCACGTTTGACGCCCAAATCAACCAAATTCTGCACTGGGACAGCCTTCACCAGTCCAATCTCGGCCTCGCACCCAATGCGATCGCCGCCGCCGCCGTGGCCATTGGCATCGTCATCACGTTCTATGGCTTCACGCTGCTTCGGCCCGTCATCTTTGTTACGGGCTTCCTCGTCGGCGCCGTTGCCGGCTTCATTGGCGCCGCGATGCTGCTTCAAACCAAACCGTATGTCGTCACGGCATGCTGGGCGGCCTTCGCGCTTGGTGGTCTCCTCTGCGGCATCCTTCTCACGTGTTATTACAATCGGCGTTGTGGCGCTCGGTGCCGTCACCGGCGCCCTCGTCGCCACTCTGCTCCACACCTCGTTCGGCTACAAGCTGTATCCCGAGAATCCGCAAGTGGTATTGTACGCGATGCTGATCGTACTCAGTGTCCTCTTTGGCGTCCTTGCGATCGTGCTCGAGCGGCCGTTTGTGATTTTCGCCCTGAGCGCGTTTGGCGCTATCATGATCACGTGGGGCATTGGGTACTTTGCTGGCGGGTACCCGAACGCAACGAGCCTGCCGCAGTCGCTCAAGAACGGCACTGTGAGCGTCGACATTCCGTACTCGTGGTGGGGCTACGTCGTTGGCACTGTCGTCTTGTGCATTCTTGGTATGTACTTTCAGCAACCGTCGCCACCTCTAAAGATGCACAAGCGCTTTGTTCATGACAAACCCTTTATCCACTGCTAATAAGAAATCTTACAACATAGCATGTATGTTCGAAGGACCCTACCCCCTGAGAGCCTTCTTCTAACATCTTTTACTAGAGGTGAAGCCTGCAAGGACCGACGCGACGGATACAGCTTTGTGCAGAGCAGTAAGGAGCAGTAAAGAAACTTGATATTGATATATACAAACACACATGTGTTTGCTTAGACGTGTCGGATCGGGTCGCCACGGCGGGGGTCGCCGCCGCCGCGTACGCACCGTCCTGGCGAAGAGGACGGTTCTTGCTAAACTCCTTGAACTGCACAAAGATGCCGAGGCCGCAGAGCACGATCGTGGCCGCGAGGTAGTACCACCACGAGCTCGGAATGTCG